AAGACGGGCGACTCTGGTTCTGGCTTTGCTAGACTTCTTACGTGAATCCCTGAGCCAGCTAGTGTTTCGCCAAATCTGGCCGGTGGATGTGCGTTTTTAAGGAGCTGCACACGGATCCCATTAGCAAAAGAGTTCGCGACTTCAGTCTACATTATAAGCTGCTCCGGCGCTTCTTCACTGAATGCACCAGGGCAAATTAACTTAAACCTGAATTTACATTTTCATTTCACCAGAATTCGAGACATCATTATTAAAATAACAGTCTATTAGTCAACAGATACACGCACCAGATTTTCCAACTCCGTCTTTGCCCATTACCACAGCGTTGATTTTTTGTATGCTGTTGGGCGAAATTCCAGTTCTTCTTTGTCCCATTTGTGTGTTTTTCCGGCTGTATGACTGTGATGTTTCTCTTGCAGAAGAACTCTGTTGTTTTTACCGTAATGAACTGCAACATAACAGATGCAAATTGGAAATGATCTTGAGAATTCGTCTTCAGTATAAGTGTTTCTGTCGATACTTACAGCTGTATGTTATAGGAAGTCCAATCTTTCACTGTATCACTCTGTATATGGTTCGGTATTACCGCCGTTTATATACTTTGCTGTCTTTGAGCTGTCGACACTTTCCGAAATATCGTTTGGCTCTTTTATGACCCCAATCAAGCATTTGCGTAACCGTCTTGCGTTTGCGTGGCACGTGTTCAAGGCATTAAGCTATCCCATTGGTCAGCGTCTTGGGGAGTGCATTCCAAGTATTAAGAATGACGACTGTTCTGAGCTAGCTGTAATGATGTTGCAAGACCCAGGATAAACTGTTGACAAATCTAAGTATGCGGCAATTCGTGAGTGTTTTGCATGTTTGTTTATCAAATGTAGAAACTGCACAAAAGTGAAAAAAAAAAGTGTGTTTCAAAGACCAAATGAGAAGAACAGTTTTTTTTTTTTTTAATGTGTTACGGTAACTTCAAGTTGCATTCTCAATTATTACATCAAACTAAATAGCAAATTGACCGTTAATAAAGAACTCTGAGATTTTAAAATCTCAAATTTGTTTCTT